AATCATTAGTGCAATTAAATTCAGATTAAAATCTGTTCACAGAGAGCTCATTCATAAAAACACAATTAATTCAACATCTATATTCGTGGCAGTCTCATATCTCGAACATATGTATTTGATCTGAACCTACACATGTTTCTTTTTTACGACGCAGTGTTCTCAAATAACTGCGTAAAGCAAACCATAAGCATAAACAACACTCGAAAAGAATATTTTTGGAGTAGATTAAACTGGGGGCTGGAAGGGAATCTGATTTTAATCTCAGAATTCTGAGAAAATTCATAAATAAAATAGGAAGGGGGGGGGGGATTCTGAGATTAAAGTGAGAATCTTTTGTTCAGTGGCCTAATCCTCTTAAGTTTTAGAAAACAAATTTAGTTTCCAATATGAATAAATATATAAGTGAAACAAAGCCAACTAGTTTTAGAAACGTCATTGTTTTATTTTGAAAGACACACCGGAAGTGTAAATTTTTTTTCTTGACTAGCCTGCGTTCAAAGAGCGTCACCGATAGATTTATTATGGGTCGGTCTAAATCACAGAGCACCGTGTGATTTCCTTACACAAGCAGATTTTTATTGAGTATTTTCATTTTTTTGTCGTTTTATTGAACAAAAGAAATAAAAAGAAAAAGAAATTGTAACAAATAAAAACACCGACTGATTCGGATTATAATGGTCATCAAGGTTTACGTCGCCTCCTCAAGTGGCTCTGTCGCGGTGAGTGTTTGTCACTGAAACTTCTTAACGAACTGTGCTTTAAGAACTCGGACATTTTATGGTTTTTAAAGATACATTTTATCAGCCGTGTGTAGTTACGTAAGCGCGTCTTTTGGTGCTTTTTGTAAAAGTAGGCAAATTAAACCTGTTTCAAACAGGTGAGATTATGCTATATCAAAACCTGGGATGTTTACTTTTTATTATTCTTATTTATTCTGTGTTGGAGTTAGTTAGATAAATTAAGCTTGTTGGTTTTATATTAAAAAGGGTTTAATGCAAAAATAACAGTATATGCCAGACATTTTTAGATTAATACAATTTAACAGGTGCAGAGCAAGCAGTTGATATGTTTGAACATTTGAAGCAGAATTGAGAGGATACAGATTAAATTAAACAAATCTGTGTGAGTTGGGTATGAAGACATGTTCAGAACATAAACACACTCAAATCCTGCTTTTTTCTGCTCAGCTTCATATTGTGTCAAACAACTTATTTACTTCTGGCATCTGGGAGAAAAAAATACATCTTACCCCTGCCCCTGTATGAGATGTTCCTATCATGTTTTTCATCCTTCTTATAAATTATTAAATTACCTGCTGGTTTAAAACCAATTAAAAAGTAATTAAACAATCCCTACATATTGCTTTATTGATAATAATAATAATAATAATAATAATAATAATAATAATAATAATAATAATAATAATAATAATAATAATAATAATCTGTTTAATGTTAATAATCTTTCTTAATTACCTTCTGGCCATTTTAATTTAGGTTGACACCTAAAATAAATCAGTTGGAGGAGCACATCCATATATTATTTCCTGAAAGTTTCATTAAAATCCGCATAATTGTTTACGAGATATATTGCTAACAGACAGAATGACTCCAAACTTTTCAAAACTTTAAAGAGTAATCTTAAAAATTTTAGTAGTGCTCAAAGTATGTTTTGAGGATCAGTCTCGGCTGCTACCGTATCACGTTTTATATTGATGTCTGTAAAACTGACAGAGTTGTAGCTATTTTTGTGTTTTCTAAGATCAGGTAGCTGTGGCGGCCATCTTGAATCCGGTTGACTTCAAAAGTTATAAGTTTGTAGGTGTATACCCAGTGATTTCTTTCTGAAAGTTTCATTCAAATCCACCCAGTGGTTCGTGAGATATTTTGCTAACAGACACACACATACACTCAAGCAAAAAACATTAGAGTATACCTTTGATTTGTGGCTGATAATTTTGCTTTTCATAGCAGCATTTTTACATCCGTGACAAAAAAATTCAATTTTGTTTTCATTAGTTAAAAAACCTTAAAATGTATCATCTTGTACAACAGATGAATTTAAAAAAAAAAAGCAGCTATTAGATGCAGCTCTCTGAGAAAGCCCAGCTGATGTGGGTGTGAGCAGGAGAAAAGCATCAAACAACACTCCTGCAAGAATGCCTAAAGAATTAGGTCATGGTACAAATGAGTAATATATTTATTTTAACAAGCTCAGTCTGTAGAAAAGAGCCTCTCTAATCTGAGTGTTTATGAAAAGAGATATTTTTATTTCTTACTCTCACAAACACACGGTTGAATAAGTCCAGTATCAGGCCATGCAAAACTCACATTAATGTAGTTTGGTCTGAATGCCGCAATTTACAATTATCAAGTCAGTTAAACAGGAGCAGATTAGTGGAGCAGAAATGATCAACGCAGAATAGATTAAATGCAAATGAGGTAATCCCTCGTTCATCACTAAAACAGATCTGCTGCATCAAGTCGCATCATGTGTTTATTTCGGAAGTTTTGTCGTCATGGTTTTGATATGTCCTATTATTCTCACTCCATAGATGTGCTTCGTTTCTCCTTATTTTCAGCTTCATTCTCCCTGCGTTCAGTTAGGAGCTGTAATATCCCATTTCTGGGATGCAACAATTGGCTCACTTGGACAAGTCGGCTCATCAGCAGCAAACGGTCCCTCCACAGGACAGCTACATCGTTTACACTACAGGTTTACTTCGTGCAGTATGCAGCTTTAGCCTTTTGATAGAGAGGATTAACAGAGCTGCTTTTACAACCAGACAACGAGAAGCTTTGAGAGATGACAGATTATATTCAGTGTGGTTGGATTGTCTGTAATCGCCCAGAACAATCCCTCATTGTTGTCAGACAAAAACAACAGCATCATTGTTGCTCTCAGCACCCCCACAATAAACACATCCCAACACATATAATATATGTAAAGTAAATAAAATATATTGTTTATTTGTTTTATGTTCGGCAAAAAGACAGAATTATTTCTTCTCCTCAACTGAAAACTACAATACTCAGTTACTTTTAATATTTTTTATGCATTCTTACTCGTTTTCCAATGTTAATCGTTCCTTGCTGCCCTTAGGTTTGTAAAAGTTTTTGTTCTCTAAATATGTGCATAAAACGTAAAGCAGAGAAACAAAAAGGATAAAGAGAAAATGATCAGTGAGATTTTGGCAAAAAAAATCTGTAATAAAAATGTGCACAGATATGTTTGTTTGGAACTTTTAGTGACTAATCTGCATCTTTAAGTCTTTCTGCGTCTTTTATCTTTTAGCCACCTTTCTGTTTATTTTAGATTTTAGCTAGCATGTTGATACTTTTAGCCTTGTTTTAAACTTTCAGCAAACCTTTTGCTATTTTTAGCTTTTAGGTACCTATTGAATACTTTTACCTTTTTAGCTCGCTTTTGATAGTTTTAGCTTTTTTCTTATTTTTCTGCTAATTTTAACTTTTAGCAAGCATATAATACTTTTAGCTCTTCGTATCTGCTAAACGTATCTAAACTTAGGAAGCCTTTTGCTATTTTTGGATTTCTATACATTTCTGATCATTTTACCTTTTTGTCTTATTTGATACTTTTAACCTTTTAGCTGCTTTTTGGCCATTTTTAGCTTATATAGCATGTTGATACTTTTGGCATTTTAATCATTCTGCTGCTTAAATTTACAGTAGAAAGCCTTTTGATATTTTTAGATTTTAGCCAACCTTTTGAGCAACTTCAGCTACTTTTTCACAACTTTTTGTAAACCTTTTTCCAGTTTTTAGCTTTAGTCTTTTGGTAAAAATGCTGTATGATAATACTATGAACATCTGAACAACTTAGAATAGTTTTTATTTTCTTTATATCATGAGCTTAAAGTATATATATTTGCCAGTGTCTGAAAATAATGTTAAAACTATCTGAGCAGAAAGTAACAAAAATAAAAATCAATAAAAAGACAGATAACCCAAACTTACAGGTTTGTTTAGCTGAAAGTCCTTGTATCTAATGGGTGTTCAAGTGCGGCAGTTTCCTGCTTTCTAAAATTATCTTTGGATGTTTCTTTTCCCACAAAAGTACCAAACTGTCATGCAGGACAGTGTCCCAGAGGTCAGTACTATAGGGAGCAGCTGAAGCCATCCCAGATCACATTTTTGTATCTTCCATTTCTTTTGAATGAGACACTTTTAGCTTTTAGCCAACAAGTTAAACAGAAGGTGCACAACACCAACAAATACATTTCCATTGTAACCCAAGGTGCATTTCTGCAGCTTGCCCTGGATTAGTAACCTTACAGATGTACGATGAGGTTTATATGACCTCCTCCATTATTCAGTAATCCTCTTTAATGCTCTCACTGCTGAAGGAGTGTGTGCAGCTGTATGTGTGTGAGCAGAGGTGCGCACCACTCTTTGTCTGACAGGATTCAGATTATGTCATGTGGCGGACACTTCTATCTAAAGTGACACAAATGAGGAAATCCCGTCTCTTTTTGCAGTTTGAGTTGATGTTTGTTGTTGGCAGCTATTGTTCGAAAACACTGCATCCCTATTACAGAAACCCTCTTGACTTGTTCATTATTTTCCCTCCTCTCCCCTCATTCTTTACCCGTCTAGGTGAAAAAACATCAGCAGGCGGTGGTGGGGTTTCTGGAGGCCAATCGAATCAACTTCCAGGAAGTAGACATTACCATGATGGAGGAGCAGAGGCTCTGGATGTACCGCAACATCCCCAGGGACAAGCAGCCAGAGAGAGGCAACCCGCTGCCGCCACAGATCTTCAACGAGGATCACTACTGTGGTGTACGTTGAGTATTTATCACAGTATTAACTAAACATGCACCTTTTCACTAGTGAAAAATGCTTATGTACAAATGTTTTTACTCAGAGCCGGCTCTTGGCATAGGCGAACTAGGCGGCCGCCTAGACCGCCATCTGCTGGAGGGTGCGCCAAACTGCAGAAGAAAAAAAAGTAATTATTTGTAATCCCTGGTTGTAACTGCTCAGCGCCCCTTTCAATTAGCTTTGTCTTAAAAAACTATAATGAAGTATTACAGGAAAAACAAACTACTCTACCCATAAAACATCCCCCCCCCCCCATGCAGCAATCACCCCCACCCTCTCTCTCATTTGATTGACGTTGCACTGACTCGTCCTGCTCCGACACTCTGACAGGGGAGGGGCTAGTAGTGCCTCTCAGGTAGCGGTTTGTGTTGACAAACTCAATAACAACAAGTCTGTATTTTGTTGTCCCATACATGTCAACCTCTTCAGATGTTTAAATGTATAAAAAGCCTTAAAATTTCATAAATTTAGCAAAAAAAATCCATACAAATCGTACGGGGGGGTGTCAGCCTCGCTGAGGCGCCTGCTGCGAAGCAGGAGGAAAGGAGAGCGGAAAAAGTTCAAAACTTATTTCTACCAGCAGAACAGGTTGGAAGATGGCTATTTAATGTTATTATTTTTAAAATCATCCTACAGGCTCTGACATGTTAGATAAATTTGAAAATGAGGTTTTGAAAAAAATCCGTAAGACTTGAAAAAATCTGTGAGATTGCTCTATACGTCCGTATACCTGCAAAATGACGTAAAATCCTTATAACTTACAATCTGTACAAGTTGACATGTTGTTATTTACTTGCTTTCTGGGAAAACAAATAAATCTAAGTTTACCGTAGTACCATACACTGTCAAACTTGTTTTTAGGGGTTCAAATTGGGGGTGGGACATAGTTCGGGGGGGGGGGCTTCAACTTGCCTAGGGCACCAAAATGGCTACAGCCAGCACTGCTTTTACTTTCTTTTAAAAACACATTATATGTAAGTATTCTAATGGACCTTGGCTTACAAACAGTCAATCAGAAAAGCAGTCTCTTAACCTATGATGTTATGCAGTTTTAAGAGGTGTTTAAAGTCACGTCCTTGTTTGTTTTATGTCTCAAATCTATTAATTAGAGGTAAACTCCATTTTTTTTATTGTGGGTTACATTGCTGGTCTCCTGTTTTACAAATGAGTGTGTAGAGAAATTGATTTAGGATATGTCAAGTTGAGATGAAACAGATACTTGATGCGTGATTTTGCTTTAATATTTGCCAAAACTTTCGAGATCAAATCTGGTGCTGCTTGTTTTAAAAGGAGAACATTTTGATCGTCTGCTTTTTTTATTTTTCCGTTGTTAAATCAGGATTGCTGAATTATATTGACACAGAAACATAACAAAACCAGATAAAAAACTGACGGATGCTTCAGTTTACTGTGAATAAATGTAAGTCCATAGAAGGTCGAGCCTGAGTGAGTCTGAGCAGTGAGACCTTCCTGGTTTATGTTCCCATCTCAGATTGCACGCTGCTCTGTAATCCTGCGGTAATCCAGTTTTATGGAAGAGAAGGGGCAGATTATCTGCTCTTCCTGCCATCGCGATAACTGGTCCAGGTATTCCAACGCCAGTCGAACGTTATATTTCAAGGAGGGTCTGTGTGTTTAGACAAAACTTCAACCCGTCTTTGAAACATTCTGTTCTCTTCTCCGCCTCAGGATTATGAAGACTTCTTCCAGTCGAAGGAGAACAACACTGTGTTTACGTTCCTCGGGCTCAGCTCCAAACCTAATGTGAAAGTGAGTTAATGCATGTAATTAAATGCTGACATGTTATACTGTATTTACTGTAATCAAACGTCCAGTTCACTTAGTAAGCTACTTTTTCAAAACAGACACACCAGTCTTTCCCAACACTGCTCGATCAGCAGATTTCCATCAGTCTGACTAAACTGATTCATTACCCGCTGAGGTTTCATGAGCATCATCTTTTTTTATTTGACAGTAAAACAGTATCATATAACAGTAAGAACCCATCAAGACTCAGTGCACTTTTTTATTTTGATCAATCTTATTCAAATTAATTCTTTTTTTAGAAAGGATGTTGCAGCTAAACAAGATTTATAATTTCTGTTTATGTTTTCAGGCTGCGGAGTCTTAGATCAAACTGCCAGCTGGAGTCGTCCGTGCTGAACTTCCTGCTTCGCGTCACCTCATTTCTGATGATTCTCCTTCGACACTGCCAGCATTTTGTGGAACGGATCATCTCTTTCTGACCTCACCTGGTTTCTCTGGAGCGACGGGGACTTGAACCCCGCAGGACTGACTTTGAGATGGTTGCGTTTTGTTGTAATGCCTGACCCGCTGCAGCAGATATGCTGTGCAAGCCAGAGACCCACGTAGCAGCTTTCGCACCAGTGCCCTTTTTGAAAATCTAAATGCAGTGGATGAGAGGATCATGTGCTGCTTTATTCACCTGATTACACACTTCCTGGTGTGTGTGTGTGCATTTTCAGTTAGCTGGTATTACAGTCGGTTATGTGAGGATACTTATTGTAATATAATGCTGTATAAGCAAGGACTTTGTTGCTTTGGTGCTCGACTATTTGTGTGTATGGGACCAAAAACTAAAAATATTCTGTTTAAATAGCAACGACTGCCAGCATACATTGTAGCCACATGTATCTAATCAAAGTGTGCTTTAATGCCAAATAGTTTCAGTCAAGTATATTATATTATTTGTAAATGTTTCGATGATAACTCCATTTATCCCTCAACACTTTCCCACACTGTGATGGTGGCCCCCAAACACCAGGTTTGCAGTGCAGTAGATGTGTCAGGTCTCTTTACACTGCAGAATGTCAAGACAAACATGCTAAAGAACAAATATTTGTTTTCCATGTTATGAGAAATATGTCCAAACTTTTCTTTACTTTTTCAGTTTGTTTTTTTGTGCTTTCACCTTGCATCACCAGGTAGTTACGCCACATCAAGTCACCTCCACTGTTTTGTAATCACATGATCAAAAACAATTATTGTTTTGCCGATTTGACTCCTTTCTATCTTGACAAATTGTGATATTGTTGTATTTTTAAGAAGTATGTTTGACCACAAAAGAAGAAAAAAAGTACTTCACCTTTCTGCCTACTTATACTTCTTAAGCTAATAAAATTGTACTCGGTAGCACAATACTTTGTGAATTGCATCAACTTATGTTGCTTCTTTGTTTTGTTGTGGGCATGTTATAAAACTAATTCTTTCAAAATGTAATTTCATGCAATAACTGGGAGAACATTTAAAATGATGTTTGTTTGTTTGTTTGTTTTCAAAGCTAAAAGTCATTGCTACATCTTGAATCACCAGAGGCTTTTTTTAAGGTGAAGGTTCAAATCTCCAATCAAATTTAAAATGTGCAAAAATAAATAAGTCAGTACAAGTTCTGTAACTGATGAGCAGATTATCTGTCATTAGTTACAGGAAGTTCACTACAGTGACATCTATTCTATTGGACAGATCAGGTATAACGGAGTTTAACTGCAGAAATGATTGAAATGTTATGTTTTCATTCAAAGTGTACTGTGTTATTTAACAGAATAAATAAATACTTTAGAGAGATACTGAATTATGTTTCCATGTGAACAGATGTTTTTAGAGCTTACGAGAAAAATCTAGCAAAAAAACAAAAAAAATTAATGTAACTGTCAATTTTTACAGATATTGAGTTGAAATGTGGTGTTTCTGTAGCCGACACTGATCCCCAACACATATTCTGAGCACTAACAGATTGTATAAGATGCTTGTTTAAAATATTGCTATAAGCTATTTGAAGTCAAGATATCTCATGAACCACTGGGTGGATTTTAATGAAACAGGGAAAAATTAGTGTACCAACTCAATTCAAGATGGCCATCAAAGCTAATCAGCCTCAGCCAAAATTACATTTTGCAATGCATTGTGGTCTAAATACATATCCTTGTCTACTTCCAGTTCTTTAAAATACACTTAGTCTAAACAATGTTCACGTTTCTACTGTGCTCTGCAGTATTCCAACATCCGGCAACAGGTTAAAACTCATTTTTATTATATTTGTACAGAAAAGTCAATAGAAAAGCAGGATAGGTACTGTATGAATGTGTTTGAGGGGTTTGAAGCCTATATGTAACAATGTCGTGTTTGCTTCACAACACACTCTGTATGACAGCTCACGTTATTGCATTAGATTTAGCAGAACTTTTTTTTTCTTTTTAGATTTGTTTCTAAGCATAACATGATCTAAATCTCTGGCAGACAAGCAACCAACCCTGGTCCTCAAGAAGCACAATCCTGCATGCTTTAGTTGTTTCCCTGCTCTTCAGCAGGCCTAAGTTCAAGAAGCCTGCCAATAACCCATTCATTTAAACCAGGTGTGCCAAAGCAGGAAGGGTTGGAGACCAAATAAAGAGAATAAAGTTGCAGTCTTACGAGAATCAAATCATACCAGAATAGAGTCATAATTTTATGAGAACACACACACACACACACACACACACACACACACACACACACACACACACACACACACACACACACAAAGTCACTGGGTTACAATAAGGAATGTTGAGCATCTTGTGAAGTTGTACTTTATTGGTTTTACAAAAAAGAAATACTAAATCTTTTTATCAGCATCAAAGTATTATCAGTAGCAGGACATTGAAATTATTCTGCAAACCAATGGTTTGTGTCTTCTTCTTCTTCTTCTTGTGGGGTTTAATGGCAGTTGGCAATAAACTGAAGGTGTGCATTACCGCCACCTACTGGTATGGAGTGTGGTTCAAGATTTGTGTCTACAGTGGTTTGCAAAAGTATTCATACCCCTTGAACTTTTCCATATTTTGTCACATTACAACCACAAACATAAATATATTTC